TAAACATCAAGGCCTCTGTTACACATGCATGCAGCACCTTTGAAATGTCATCTAACTTAAAGTTAGTTGAAACATTATTGACTAATTTTAAATGAATTACAGTAACACATTTAAGTCTTAACTTGATGTTTTAAGTCAGTTTAATATAATGTAAGATGAATGGCCTATAAAATTAGTTTAATTCAACTTAAAAATGTAAGACAACCCATATTTTTTACAGTGTTTAAATACTCATGCAGCTCACGTTTCCAATAAAGTCTTATATTGCCATCTCTTTAACAAAAATAATGAAGCTCTAAATGTACAAACATAAACATCTTGATAATCGATGTAGTACAAAACAATCTGGCTGTAAAAAAATGAGCTCAATGCGAAGTTACTAAAAAATCTTGGATACTAAAGTGCTCTACAGATAATAATCTATTGGTTTCTATTATGATTCATGAGAAAAGAGAAGCAGCCGCTTTTGCACAAATCAACATTCTCATTAAAATCCACAGTTTTATCCATTTGTCGTCCCACATTTTCCATTCGCTTTCATGTATTGCTTAAATATACACTCAGTATTTCCTCCTCCAGAAAAAGATGAGGCAAACCTCATTAAAAATGTAGTATTTCCCTCTTTTCGTGATGCCAAGTAGACATGAAATACATATAATACATAGCGAACATCTTATTTTAAATGTTTTATTTGAGTCCCAATTAAAAATGTACTATAAGATTCATATACAGGCGTCCCCCAATAACAAGCGATATAAATGTATTTTACGAGAAGTGACTCGATATATAACGAAATATTTGTAAAACAAGGCAACAACAAAAAGGCAACTGTTTGCATTTCATTCATCTTGAGTCGTTTGCCAGTTTTTTAAAAAGTAAAGTCCTGACATAAGTCAGTCCTTATTGGAAGGCAAAAATGCAACAGGTTCATTCTGAAAATGTAGCCCTGTATAGATTTCTGGAGATCTACGGGGCGGTTTGACGCCATTCCTTTTCTCGCTTACCAGCTGACCGTTTATCGTCTAGACGGCTTTCCTGCTGTTTGTCCAGTTAGCTCGCCATATACGTCAGGAAACTTAAGAAGCAGAGAGAGGAGTTGACCACGACAGTGGGGTTAGAGTCTGGCGAAGAATGGTTCCAGAAAGCAGGTAAGACAAAAACAGAAGCCAAAAAATTAAAATTAAATAACGGTGAGAATGTGTTAAAATTTGAAAACGTGGTAAAAATCAGGCGGGGGCTTTTCTGGGTGTGCGTGATCGGGTCAATCGGTGAGATCTGAAAACACTGATGGTTGGAGTTAGGCAAGGAGGAGGGTGGGTCAGTTGATCGGTCAGTCAGTCAGTTGACAGCGACCTCTAGTGGGTTTATGCGAGAACAGCAACCCAAATGGCACGTAGCCGCCTGGGTTATATTTGGCACTCTCCAGAAATGTATATAGCGGTATGTTTGCAGAATGAGTTTGGGTTGCAAAAATAGGGTTTGTTGTAGTAACATTCAATTGACAGATTGAAATAAATAAACCAAAACATTTTTTTATTTTGATTTAATTAGATAAATATTTGTCAATGCTTTTGAACATCATTTTTAATAATTACATAATTTTAATTTAACTGAATTGTCAATTTAATTGTAACTTTATTTAATAATACATTAAAATTTCTAGTTATTAATTGATTAATAGATTAATCACAAATGCTATTTATTTATTTGTTAATATATTTTTTAATCTATTAACTTTTATAATAATAGGCTAAAATAACTGAATGGGTAAAGCAAGTAGAAATACATTTTTATTGTTAATTTATCCTTTTATAGTGTGATTAAACTGTTCAATTAATAATTAAAAATGCATTCAAAAAATAATTAAATAATGTCAAACCATCAATTAATTTCATAAAAAATAAATTAAAATTTTCAATTTATTAACAATTAAAACATCTGTTTCTTCTTTATTCATTACTTAAAATATTCTTTAATCTATTAGCTTTTATAAATGAAATAAAATAATTTGAACCCTTAAAATATTTAGTTTTATTTTTATTTCTGTCATGAGCACTCTCAGGATTTAGTATGATAACAAATATGTATAAGGCAATGTTGATATATTTGGTCTTGGCAGTAAAGATCTGCAACGCTGCTGCTGCTACAGCAACTGCAACTGCTTTAATTTATTATGGTAAAGCACGTACCAAGACCTGCTACTGCCAGTATATACAAAGACATGCCGTCTGAGAATATAACACACTGCTGCTGCAAACATAATATATACGTAACCCTGTAGCAGTTCTAACACAGGTGGAGCTGGGGTGGAGGAGGGTCTCAGCTTGACAGTGTAAAATGACGAGTGTAAAATTAAGATTAAGAGCAAGCTCATTGGCTGCCGAGGTGACAGCAACCAATCTCCAGCATCATGTAATTAATGATGCAGAAGCATACTAGCTGACTATCAGCCTGCGCATGCAGAGAGTGTCATGGTAGAAAATTCACTTCTGGAATTTTTTAATCTATTAACTTTTATCAGAATAGGCAAGAAAATATTTTAATGGGTAAACAGAGTAGAAATAGACCCCTTTGTGTAATTTACCATTTTTACAATGTGATTAATCTATTAATCTTCTGATTAAATCTAAAACTAATTATTCAACAATGCTTTTTTTTTCTTTTTTCCTTTCTTTTTCTTTTTGATGAAATAAGCAGCAGCTTTTGTGAATAATTAATTCTCCAGGATCTGATTTAGCACAAATAAAACTCAGAGCAGACCGGGGTCACAACCAATCCGCTAATGATATAATGAGAATTTCCTTATCAGCGTTTTGCTTTTCTGCATGGGTTTTCAATAAGACTCTCTTCTCCCTTACAGTGATAATATTTTCCTGGCGGCTCAGAAATATTATTAGCTTCCCTGTTTCTACTAATGAAAAAAAAAAAAACAGCGCCTGTGTAATGGAGGAAACCTGTACATTGTTGTCCTGTGACTCCTCTTGGACTGTCGCTCGATCGCTGAGACGGGTGTTTTCATCCGTTGCATATTTCATTTATACCTGGACGTCCAAATGTAAGTTTCATGGTGCTGTAAACTAACAGCTAAATCAATTCAGGCCCTGGGCAGAGTTGAAAACCAATGTCAAACCCTGGAAAATGCCCTTCGACTGAATGACACACACTTACAGCTGATACATATTCAAAATCCTGACATTCATATTTCAAACATTATTCACACTAGCTCGGTCATCAAGTCAAGCTGTTCGTGATCTACTATATGTTTTCCGGGAAAACGCTGAACGACGACACAAATGGCACGTTTTTCAGATGGACATAAGAACGATATATAGTGAAACACTGATATACCACAGTGCTTGCTCTCAGGTTATATTAATACACTTATTTCTTTACACTGTAAATGAATACACACACTGTGATGATCCATTTAGGTTTTGGCTGTAAGCTTAAATGGACATCGATTTGGTTTGAAAACAACCATTGAATGGTGACACTTTACAATAGGATTTCATTTGTTGACGTTAGTTAGACATCAACTAACAATTGACCAACTCCCTCACAGCATTTATTAATCTTAGATCATTTCAATTGTTCTGCACATACAGAAGTTCTAGTTTTACATAATGCTTGTTTTAAAAGAGGTCATCAAACAATTTTAACCTTCAAATTCTGTCCATTTTATTAAGAATTGAAACAATAAATTCAGTTGAGGCTTATTGTGTGTTGGACAGATCGCTGTGTATATGTCTCAGTTCAAAACTCACTACCTCTTTTCTACTAGTTATAGCACCAAATAAATATGAATGAACAGCTCATGTCTAATCACTCCACTACTGTTTTAACCACTGAAATGCATCAGTAATACACCTCGTAAACAATGTCATGTAGTGTTACATTTACCTCAAAAAAGCCATTCAATGTCCACAGAATGTTAGTTACCTTTGAGAAATGAGCAAAGAGCAATTATTGATGAAGTTGCACAGTTTGTCTTTGTTTATATTGTTATATTTAACCTGTTAATGATGTCTTAATGTATATACACACACATTATAACTCCCTGATGGATATTTAATGTTTGTTTAAATAAATGTCAAGAAAACAAGTAATGGAAGTCACTGTGTGATTACATTTTATTTTATGCCTCAATTAATACATAAACAGATTGAATTATTGTATTAAAAAAGAAAATGAAAAATAAGATGTTTGCATTTTCGTTTTTATTTTAAGAGGTGATTAATAAATTATTATATCTATAAAAAATGACCAAGTGTACTTAATAGGGCTCTGTTGTTAACCTTAAATAATTTAGAAACACGCAATAAATAATTCTCCTTATATAGCATTACCTGATTACCCTAACTCGCCTAGTTACCTTAAATAACCTAGTTAAGCCTTTAAATGTCACTTTAAGCTGTATAGAAGTGTCTTGAAAAATATCTAGTAAAATATTAATTACTCTCATTATGGCAAAGATAAAATAAATCCATTATTAGAAATGAGTTATTAAAACTATTATGATTAGAAATGTGTTAAAGGAATCTGCTCTCCATTAAATAGAAATTGGGGGAAAAATAAACAAGCCGTCTAATAATTCAGGGGGGCTAATAGTTCTGACTTCAACTGTATACATGTATACTGTATATATATATATATATATATATATATATATATATATATATATATATATATATATATATATATATATATATTTACTTGCATGTATTTAAACAAAAAAAAACTGTTTAATTATAAAAATAATAAAAAAGATTCCTCTATTTTTAGTTATAAAACTACCTAAATTAACTTTAAAGCTACTTTTTGTTACTTGAACTGACATAATTGCTAAAAATGAATCTAAAATGAAAATTGAAATGGAAGATACAAGTATTAAAAAAAACTATTTCAAGTTATGAAAAAAACTATAATGCAGGGGTGTCCAAACCCGGTCCTGGAGGGCAGCTGTCCTGCATATTTTAGTTCCAACCCTTGTGAAACACACCTAAACCAGCTAATCAAGCTCTTTCTATGTAAACTAGAAACTTCCAGGGAGGTGCGTTGAAGAAAGTTAAAGCTAAACTACACTCAAAAAAATGAACTTTCCCTATTGTTAGTTTTACTATACCCATCCTTGTTCACATTACATAAAACATAAAAGTAATTCAATTTACACAAGTTAACTATGTTATTTCTACAAAAATTGAGTACTGTAGGCTTTACCTAATAAGGGTTTGACTGGACAACTTAACATTGTGGAATAAATCGCAAAACCCTCTTAAGTTTGGATATTTGCGGATACCGTAGCTTACCTATGGGCGGAGCACCGGAACAGAACGGAAGGCAGACGAACGTGCAAAGCACATTGAGGAGGAGAAGATGGTGGCTTTTTCAGGTAAGAGTATTTTATAACTCTTTACTGTTAAATATCGCTAGGAAAAGTGTTTACAGAATGATGTTATTTTATGTTATCAGTGTATTTCAGAGTCTTTTGAGCTTTAGCATTTTTAGCTAGCTATACTGACTCTTGTTTCTCAAGGAAAGCATTTGGCAGTGCAAAGACTGCAAAATAACTGTCACGACTACATTAGAGCATAGATATTATAGTCGTGTTTTTATGCACTTATTCCGAGTTTCTCTGTAGATTTAAATTGTAAAACTTGCCATTTTAATTGTAGATAGAGGTAAAGTTGGTTTTATATTTGCACATTCGGTCATTTAGAAGTCTCTATTGTTTACCATTTTACTTTGAGTTATTCGATCATAATTACCATGCAAGTATAACTTGAAAACAAAATTAACACTGTTTATTTGACTGTAAAAAATGTTGTACTTTGATAGTCATTGGCTGCAAATATGATTTCACTATTTAGGGTTTGCAAATAATACTTTTATGAAATTTTATTATTAAATCTGAATGTGCAAATATAAAACCAACTTTACCTCTGTCCAAGCAAATGGGAACACTGGGTTACATCCAAATGTAACACTAGCCAAGTTCAATTGCCATGTGTGTTCTTGCAGCAATATAGAGTCAGAAATATTTTAGTAACATGCATAACCACCTAAAAAACAGTGATACAGTGCCTTGTATGAAAGCTATCTTTACTATAATCTTGTGTCTTAAATCTACAGATTGCTGCTGAATTCAGTTGAATCACTTCTGTCCCATTAATTCAAACATGTCAAAACTGGATAGTTACTCCAGCAAGCTGGCCAGCATCTCCCGTAGAGAAGGAGGAATTGCATAGAGGTAAAGTTGGCTTTATATTCGCACATTCGGACTTTCCCCTTAATAATATAATTTCATAAAAGTATTATTTGCAAACTCTAAATAGCAAAATCATATTAGCAGTAAATTTCTATCAAAGTACAAAATTGTTCACAGTCAAATAAATAGTGCTAGTGTTGTTTTCAAGTCGTACTCCCATGCTAATTCTGTTCGAATATTCAACGTAACATGGTAAACAATATAGAGACTGCTAAATGAACAAATGTGCGAATATAAAACCAACCTTACCTCTTTAGGAATTGCAGATAGAGATAACATTGGTTTTATATTCGCACATTCGATCATTTAGCAGTCTCTATATTGTTTACCATGTTACGTTGAATATTCGATCAGAATTATCATGCATGAATGACTTCTAAACAACATTAACACAGGTCTAATTCAATCTGAACAATGTTGTACTTTGATAGTCATTTGCTGCTAATATAATTTCCCTATTTAGAATTTGCAAAGAATACTTTTCCTGAAATTCTCCTTAATAATATAATGTCTTTATATCCAAGTTTAAAACCAACTTTATCTTTATGAATTGCAGGGCATAATATTTGGAAAGTGATGGCCACCATTGATGAGGTTTGTTAACTGTATTTTATGATGCTTGTAAATAATTTCCACTTTAGTATGGTGTTTTTTCATTGTTTATACTTAATGTCTCTTCTACAGAATGATGGAGAGCTTGCATTCTCGGAGCATTTTCTGTGTATCTTAATGAAGATTTTGAAAACCTCATGAAGGAGTATACTGTAAGTGTTCAAGCACTGAATGTTTAAAATGCCACCACATAAATTCACATAATATAATCAAGAAATATCAATACACAAAGTATATTTAACTTGGGGTTATCAAAAGTACAGACTAACCCTAACAAACACAGTAAAGTTGTTTTGTAAGTCACTGCAGGTGCGTTATGTGAAAGATTGAGGAATGGACAGTTGATACAAAATTCACTAAATTTACAATCTGTATTTTAATGGAATTAAACTGACTTAACAGTGGTACTGTTTTTGTGTTTTATAGGACACAGGCTTTGAAAACTCTGAGAGAGAGAGAGAGAGAGAGAGAGAGAGAGAGAGAGAGAGAGAGAGAGAGAGACATGGCCAATACTCTCATTTATAATCTACATCGTCAGACCTGAAGGTGCAGAAGCCTGTGACCCACCATCAGGTGTTGGACTGATTGTTGAGGGAGTGAAAGTGCTTCAGAACCTTGGCGATGTCACCAAGGCTTGTGCTCTTCTTTTGGGAGTAATATACAGCTTGAGTCTCAGTTATCCTTCAGACCTGAAATACACCCGAGTTTTTTTTTTTTTTTAGTTTTGCTGGGACTTGAAGAACTCAAGAACAAACTTGACTGAATCAGTACATCATTCTGGACAAATGAAAGAAATAGAGGAAGAAGCTTTTTGTGACATTTAAATTGTTTTATGGTTTTAAAATTAATGTGATGTTATCTTTGTTGATGGCACCAAAGTTTTAAATGAAGTTCTGCAACTTTAAATGGCTAAATGGTTTGGTTATTTACAAAGATTAGAGGTCAGTTTTAATCTTTTCTTTACTAATGGCTCGAACGATTTCAGATATCCAAAATTGAACACTGTAGCAGTTTGTGTCATGCTGCCTGCCTTAAACTTTGCTTTTCTTTTTCCAAGTAAAATGTATTATTTGCAGTTGCATATAGTAAAATAACATTTTGGTCAATAATAAAAAAAAAAAAATTTCGTGTTTTTTTTCTGTCTTTTTGAAACTAAATGTTATTTTGGTGGGGGTTGTCATAAAGAGGCCAGTTGTATACTTTAACAATCGCTTAAACATTTTAAAATATCAGCAATGTTGCATTTCATGACAGTATTGAAAAAAAATGTCCTTACACATTTTCTTTTGTAAATTCTTATTACAATATTTGAAGGAAGTAGCACATTGTAACAATGTTCACTATTGACCAAAGTGTTTTTTTTTTTGTTTTTAAAAAATCCTCTTTAAACTGCTATTTCAACCGTTTGTGGATGTTTACAAAAATCGAGGCCAGTTTGAAAGTTACTTTAACTATTCATTGTAAAGATCAGAAATAGAGTTTAGCAGTATTTTAACATTCCATGTATTTAATATTTCAAATTAAGATTATTTCAAATTCTTAAAGCCAGTTACACTTTAAAAGACCTTGTAAATGTTTACTGTAAATCCTTTGTTTTTGTGTATTTGTTTCAAAGGACCTGTGAAATTGAAATTGTTTTATGGATTTTAGGTGTTGTATGTTGCAAAACCTTGCAAAAAAATAAATTCATTTTGTTTCTAAAAATGTTTGATTATTTAGGTTTTACTCTTGTAGAGCACATACTTTAAAAGTGAATAAAAAAAGAAAAAAAAGTGTTCACCTTACATATTGAAAGTTCATAATTTTTACATAACATTACTAAGTAAAATATACATATAACTAAAATGTAATAATGACACATCTAAATTGGGTTGTAGGTACTAAGGAATATTTTGTAAACTTTACCTGAATTTCTTTAGTTCATTCAACTATATTGTTACTTGTTGAAACTACTCAACACAGTTACGTGGAACCACTTGACACTCTTTTTTTATGTAAGTCCAACAAATCATTTTTTGAGTGTAAGCAGGACACCGGCCCTCCATGACAGAGTTTGGACACTCTTGCAGTAATGGGATGGCCGGTCCTTTAATCGTTTATGTTAGTTATCACGCCTGCTAATGATACATATTATAAAGTGTCACCAATAAACCATTTCCTGATATGTCAGAAACCAAAACCCCTCTTTTTAAATCATGTGTCTTTTTGTAATCATTTGGTATCATTTCACGCCAGTCGTGTCATTCAAATTCAATAGCTTATCTCTACACGATAACTACAGTGCAAATGTTGGCAAAATGTAAGTTACATCTGCACTGACGAGCATTTAAAACAGTAAGCCTGAAAATGCATAGGTGTATTTCAGGTGAAAAGACCATATTTTTTGACCCCACGCACTGTAAACCACTTTATATGTCACTAGTGGTATATAAGCATCCCTTTTGGGTTGTTGGATGCCCCTTTTGGCCGTATGAAGTACTACTACAATCATCTCAGGCATGTGTGCAACAGGTTAAACCCACGATAGTCACTGGACAAACACAAGACTAACATTGCATGACATGAGCATGCCCTAAACAGCCCTTATTCTCATGCAAAGGGATCGGTATACTGGATGTAAAAGACGTCAGAAACAGACCTCCATATCCAACTCTTCCCAAATGTGAGACACGGGTCTTTCTTTCCGGAAAATTGGTATTGGGATCTAATATATAGATAAATGGATGCACAGCTGAGCTCTACTGGTACATCCAGGCTATTGTAAATCCATGCATCATATCATGCATTGAAGAGTAGGATCCTCGCTTGATGTCCATGCGTTAAATTCACCCAAAACATACTGAATTGGTTGAAGGGGAGTCCGTAACGTGTAAACCTCCTGTTTTGCGTACATTTTAGCGGTTTATTTTTGGGTAGGTGTGTTTATAGATCCATGTGCAGTTCAATTATGAAAACTTCGTCCATTGGAAGCTGTAGTTCTGCTCAAAAATATTTCAACATTTCGATTTCAAGGAAATAAAATGACATTTTCAGCTGCTCCAGTTTTAATGTGAATGTTTTTTTTCTGTGTGTTCTTTTACATTTTTTTTTGTGTGTGATTGGTCCATTTTGGTTACTTCATGCCACTGCGAAGCACCTGATTGGCTGCGATGAGCATGACGCTGATGATGAAAGCGATGGCGAAGGCGCAGATCAGACTCTTCCGTACGCATGTTTGCTTCACCTGCTGGGTCGGACTCTCCGCTGAAAAAGTAACACACAAGGAAATCAGGAGAATTCAAGTGGAAGAAGAGGAGGAAATCAGGGAAAAATGTGACCAAATAAACACCCTTGGTAAAAAATAAAAAATAAAATAAATAATTTATGTACATCTGAAGTCAAAATTATTAGCCCTCCAGTGATCTTGTTCTTTTTCAAGTATTTCCCAAATGATGTTTAAAAGAGCAAGACAATGTTCACAATAATTCCTATAATATTTTTTTCGTCTGGAGAAAGTCTTATTTGTTTTATATCAGCTAGAATAAAAGCAGTTTGATTATTTTAAAAAAACTATTTTAAGGTCAATATTATTAGCCTTCTTAAGCAATATTGTTTTTGATTGTCTACAGAACAAACATGTAGCAAAGCGGATGTCAACAACAGAAGTGTGCATTCAAGTGCAGTTTATTGAAGATAAGTTGTACAGGCAATGGTTAATGCAGGAACAAAACAGGAGCATAGGAGTAATCCGAAAATGTTATCAAAATACAGGTGAGAAGTTCAGCTAGGCAGCAAAGGATCAAAACGAGGAAAACACTTTGTGATGTTCTTTAAAGAAACAAGACTTGGCAAAGAGAATGTGACAGTAAGGTGTATAAATAGTCTGTGTAATCAGTGAGATGTGCTGCAGCTGTGTCTGTGTGTGAGTGTTTATTTGTTTGGATTATTTGTCCAGATTATTGTCAGCTGCTGCGGGAGTTGATTGGTGCAAAGAGTTCTGGGAGTTGTTGTTCATTCAGAATCCCGGAAGTAATCTCCAGTGTGGTAAACACCACTGGAGATCACTACAGAACCACTGGGTCACACTTTATTTTGATTGTCCATGTAACTGAATTTAAGTTACATTGCATCCACATGCCAACTAATTCTCATTAGATTATAAATTGACTGTTAGGTTGGGGTTAGGGTTAGTGTAAGTTGACATGTACTTGCAAAGTTTCATATAGTCAGTTAAATGTCTGTTGAAGGAGCAGTATCAGCAAGTATTAAGCAGACAGTCTACTAATACTCAAATGGACCATCAAAATAAAGTGTTACCAATTACTGTTATATGATGATTTGCCTAATTACCCTACCTTGCCTAATTAAGCTGGTTAAGCCTTCAAATTCTTGAAAAAAATCCAGCAAAATATTATGTGCCGTCATCTTATTAGAAATGAGTTATTAAAGTTATTTTGTTTAGAAATGTTAAAATCTTCTCTCCGTTAAACAGAAATTGGGGAAAATTAAACAGGGGGGGCTAATAATTCTGATTTCAACTGTATATGACTGGAAGAAACCTTTTTTTTTTTTTTTACTTTTTTTAAATCCCTTTTATTGATTTTATTTTAAAAGAACACAATTCACTAGAAACATAAATGCTTCATGACATAACATTACATTCCAGTCCCTTCCATCAATTTGTAATGCTTGATAAATCATTAAAAATGACCCAAAATTGTTCAACGGCAGTGTGAACTGTCAAGACATCAGGATTTTAGGATTGCATAATTAATGAAGATGATGAAATGATCAGTTTGACACGAAGGTGTAATAATTGAAAAAGCAAAAGAAAAGTTCCTACTGTCAATGTCGACCTGGCAGTCCTCGGGATTTTCAATGTGATTCTCCTCAGTCATGATGATGTTCTCAATGTCTTTCATAGACAAATGGTCACAGAAAGTGTCATATAAGAGTCTCTTCAGCTCTTCCACCGTCAGCTTTTGCATATCACACTAAAAACACACACACACACACACACACACACACACACACACACACACACACACACACACACACACACAAAGAATTTATATGACTATACATGGTTTTCTTTATGCTTTTAAATATATTACATTAAAAATACAGTTCACCCAAACTGAAAATTTTTTCAACATAATGTGTCATATGGAAACCTGTAACCAATTACTTCCATAATATTTGTCTTTCCTACAATGAAACTCAATGGTTACCTCCAGCTTTCTTCAAAATATCTTCTTTAGTGGTCAACAGAATATAGAAGCTCATAAAAGTTTGAAACCACTTGAGGATGAGTGACTCAATTTGCATTTTAGGATGAACTACCCTAGCCCATTTGGCAAATGCTTTTATCCAAAGCAACTTACAGAACCTTGCATTAAAGATACAGTATAGATTTCCATCAGCTAACTGGGTATGTAAGTTACATCTGCACTGACGAGTATTCAAAACAGTAAGCCTGAAAATGCATAGGTGTATTTCAGATGAAAAGATCATTGTTTTTGACTCCCACACACTGTAAACCACTTTATATGTCTATTGGTATATAAGCATCCCAATTGAGTTGTTAATTGCCCCCTTCAGCCATATGAAATACTACTACAATCATCTCAGGCATGTGTGCAACAGGTTAAAACCCACGAGAGTCACTTGACAAACACAATTTTAATTTTAGGGTGAACTATCCCTTAATGCATTTGGCAAATGTTTTTATTCGAAGCAACTTACAGTACCTTTCATAAAAGATAACAGTATAGATTTCATCTGACTGGTTGTGTGCAGTAAAAAAAAAAAAAGCACACAAGGTTCAGAGCACACATACTATACGCTCTGAACTCACAGAGAGTTCACAGTGAGTCATTTTAAATGAAGACGCCTGTAGCTACACGGGGTCAATCGCGCTGCTAAAAAATGCACCGGCAGCGAGTTGCGATTAGGGAAGCCCCTGTGGGGGAATCACCATATGTCCTTTACAGATGATATCCTGCTCTCCTCACACGGACGCACTTATGAAATCCATTAATGAATTTTGCAAAAGTCACAATACAATACATTTATTCTCTTTTCGGCTTAGTCTTTTTATCTAGGGTCACCACACCGGAATGAACCACTAACTTATCCAGCACATGTTATTACGTAGCGGATGCCCTTCCAGCTGCAACCCAGGACTAGAAAACACCCATACATTCTTGCATTCACACTCATACACTACAAACTTTTTTGTTTACCCAATTCACCTATAGCACATGTCTTTGGACTGTCGGGAAAAGTGGAGCAGCCAACACGGCAACACAGGGAGAACATGCAAACTCCACACAGAAATGCCAACTGACCCAGCCAAACCAGTGACCTTCTTGCTGTGAGGCGACAGCGCTATCTGCACTTGCGCTTGTTAATAGTAGTTGGGTTTAGGTGTTACCAGGTGTTTAGGTGGAATAAAGTCATGAAGAATATGTAAATACAGTTGAAGTCAGAATTATTAGCGGCCCTAAATTATTCGCCCCCTGTTTATTTTTTTCCTCAACTTCTGTTTAACAGAGAGAAGACTTTTTCAACACATTTCTAATCATAATAGTTTAAATAACTCATTTCTAATAACTGATTTATTAGATTTTTTTCCATGATGACAGTAAATAATATTTGACTGGATATTTTTCAAGACACTTCTACACAGCTTAAAGTGACATTTTAAGGCTTAATTAGGGTAATTAGGTTAACTAGGCAGGTTAGGGTAATTAGGCAAGTTATTGAATAACGATGGTTTGTTCTGTAGATTATATATAAAAAAGTTAGCTTAAAGAGGCTAAAACCTTTGTCTTTAAAATATTTTTAAAAGTAAAACTACTTTTATTCTAGCCGAAATAAAACAAATAAGACTTTCTCCGGAAGAATAAATATTATCAGACATACTGTGAACATTTCCTTGCTCTGTTAAACATCACTTGGGACATATTTAAAAGAGATATGTCTAATCTCTAATAATAATTAGAGATAATAATTCTGACTTCAACTGTGTATAAAAAAAGATAAATACACATTTACATTCAGGTTTGACACAGGATGACTAAACGTTTTTAGAGGGTGGGGCTACTTTTACAAAAATCAAAAACTCACAGAACAGAACTAGGTATCGTCACCAAAAATTGGAAAGCAACACTTGGTGGCGCTAAAAAAACGAAAACACTCCAAAAACAAACAAACAAACAAACAAACCACAAAGCAGCTTTAACTTAGAGAACGCTGGTCCAACTGACTTAAATATTGTCCACCGGCACCATGCCGAAATATAGCATTTTATGTGTGTGTAAGCAACTGTTACTGCACAACGTTTCACACATCATTCCTGTTTACCCCACAAGTCCAAAGACATGCGCTATAGGTGAATTGGGAAGGCTAAATTGTTTTTAGTGTATGTTTGTGAATGAACGTGTATAGATGTTTCCCAGTGATGGGTTGCAGCTGGAAGGGCATCAACTGCGTAGAACATATGCTGGATAAGTTGGCAGTCCATTCCGCTGTGGCGACCCCAGATTAATAAAGGGACTAAGCCGAAAAGAAAATGAATGAATTAATATATTTTTTATTCTGCCATTTGTTTGCATACAAACTGCACTGTAAATATATAAATTCTAAAAAAAAGGGAATTTGGGGAGGTCAGTTTTATCTATAAAGGGAACCAATCGTCTCTAGAAAACATCAGACAGTGTTTTCTTTATAGATCATCTATCATATAATCCATATTAAATACCAGCAACGTTGATTTGTTAACAACAGTAAACACAAAAACACATTTTTCCCTACTGTTGTACAAGTACCATGAATTAGCATTTTAGCATCTTCAATTTTATGCATGTACAGAAAAGTGAGAAATGATCTTGAAATTCTACAATAAAAATAAAAACAAGAGGAAAAAAAAACACCTGAATTGTCCAATCGGCATGAGATAAAAATGCAAATGCGAATTAAGCAGAAAAAATAAAGATATACTTTTTTTGTTTTGTTTATTTGTGTGATTTCATAGGCAGCAGTGTGTTGAATGTTGACTTCAGTGTGTGAGAGAGACTGAAAGATACCGCAGACTTTGTGCCTGTTGTCTATTGAAATACAAAAAAAGTGGCTAATAGTCACCTTCCAGAACACAGAGTCAAAATTGGTCCCATTGAACTTGTCAGGCATCCCAGCAGCTGAGAGTTTGGGCCCCAGGAGAGTCACGAATTCTTCGAAATCCACCTGGCCGTCTCCTGAACAACAGAGCGTGACGTATTAGATGCATTCAAGCATGAGATCACGTTCCAGATGTGAGCTCTGGGATATAAAATCAAGACAGAAATTGATAAAAATCTAATATTTTGTGAACTGAAGTGAGAATGGCTGCAGAGGAATTTCATGCATTTTCTGTAACATGATGTAGAACTGTCATTTGAATGTAATGAATCTTAAACAAAAAAAAATAAATAAAATCATTTGGCTTCCATGTCTTATTTAAACAAAAAGAAATCTAAATAAATCACAAAACCCCTTATAAAACATTATATTAAATATTAACAACAACAACAATCTGCTTGGATGAGTTAACGGAAATGAATTTCCTATCTTAGAGTAGACCGCAAAAATAATTCCCATTCAAACTCATCAATTAAAAGCAAGGAGATAATTGAAATTTTCAAGGATTTCTATTCTGCTCATAGATTGTTTGGTCAACTAGTCAATTAGACTGATTAGATTCTCTTTGTAATTTGTTGTCAGCTAATATTTTCGTATCAGAGTGAGTGTGACTTTCTGGAGAGGGTTTTATGGAGCTAAAAGCCCCTCTCTGAGATGGTCTTTAAAGCGCTGCTACTACAGTTATCAAAGCAGCGCTTTCTCCTTCAATTAATTTCAAGACAATTACTGTCAAATCTCAAAATGCCCACTGCAAACAATCTTATTATTATTAGCACATGCATAATCCATATGTCTTCAAGTATTGTAAGGAATGTTATATTTGGGGGCAATAAAAGGTTACATTTAGCTCTTTATTTTATTGAATATCTGTCAGCAGTCCTTAGCATCATTACAGTGATTCATCTGTGCCTGGTCAGTTAATTCACCCCAAAATCAAAAGTCTGTCACTATTTACAGTAATTGTTTTCTAAAAATAACTAACTTACCAAATAACTAACTAAATCAACCAACTGACTAAAATCAACTAACTAACTAACTAACTAACTAACTAACTAACTAACTAACTAACTAACTAACTAACTACTAAACCAAATTATCAACCACTTATCAACCAACCAACCAACCAACCAACCAACCAACCAACCAACCAACCAACCAACCAACCCTACAGTGATTCATCTGATTGGTGCCAAGTCAGATATTTCACCCCAAAATAAAAAAGTGTGCCACAATTTACAGTAATTGTTCTCTAAAAACCTAAAACCAACCAACCAACCAATTAGCAACTTATCAACCAACCGACTAACTAACTAACTAACTAACTAACTAACTAACTAACTAACTAACTAACTAACTAACTAACATTTTCTAACATGAGTTGGGTTGTTTTCTAAAGCTTTAAACAGGCTTGGTTGTAGAACTGATGACTGAAATAAGGTAAAGTATTATGGACTTGTAATCTGGAACTACATTAGCGGTGCATTGTTGGAGAAACTAACTAGCCAAACTGTCAAATCACAATAGTTAGAGCTATCGTTACTAACGTCGTACTGGTGGTGGAGTTAAAACTTGAAAACTGCCAATTTGAAACTTAAAAGTCCAGGTCAAAATTTACCATGTATATTTTACTAGCTCACACTGTTACCCTTGAAGTAAATAATTCATGTGTGCAAAATAATCCAATGAGAAAAAAACAAAGTCAGGCCATTTGCTTTCATGTTTGGAGTGGCATTCCCGTTGATGTCAACCTAAGGGCTTTCATAGCAACTGTATATCAATAACCCTAACCACGCCCCTCTAACCATTAGTTTGCTAAGAGGGAATGAGGCGCAAAAACAAAGCTCCGCCCCCTACTCATTATTCTGTTACTGTTAGAAGTACATAAACATACTGAAATAAAAGTCTCAGCAGCTTCCAATTCACACAGACTAAGATCAAAATAATGTCTGATAATTGCTGTAAATAATGAACATGACATCTAATTTGGTTCTGTTGTTTAATTTTGCTTAATATTGCAAAAGACAAAAAAACACTGGGTTAAAAGTTTGACCCAATAGAAGAGTGTTTGAATGGGTCACTTTGTTTGGTTAATCTGAACTTTTAATGAATCACATTCATAACAACTCACCTAGTTGGGTAAAAATGGAAATTTGTTGGGTTAACCTTAATGACCCAATGAATTGGGTTAAGATAACCTAACAGCAGGTCAGTGCCGAAACAACTCACTGTTGAGTTATTATTTAACCCAACTGTTTTGAGTGAGTAGGTTCTCTTACTGTTTGCTTTTGGAAAATGCAGCCCTTGTCTTTTCAGCATAGCATTGTATATACAGTTAGGCATATGTGTTTGCTTACCGTCCATGTCGAGTCTTTGAATGATGACCTCTAGCTCCACCTCATTGGGCATATACCCCAGAGAACGCATGGCCATCCCGAGCTCCTGCTTAGAGATGAAGCCGTTCCCATCTCGATCAAACACCTTAAATGCCTCCCGGATTTCTGAGGAAGACAGTAACACACAGATTAGAGCTGCTTGACTGATTATTACTTCTACATTTTATTCTTTAATAACCTGTTTTTAACACATTTTAACATGTTTTTATCTATTTTAATCACTTTTATTATGTTTTTATTTTGAGACAGTAATATTGTAAAGTAAGGGATTACCTTTAAATAACAGTAACAAGTAATCTGTAATGTATTACAGTTTGGAAGTAACATGCACAACACTGGTAGTAATAAAGCATAATGCTTTCATCATTTCTTCAAGTGATCCGTTTAAAAATGTAAGATTCATCCGGAAACAAAACAAGTGAATCTTTGAGTGATGGAATCATTCATCCTAAATATTTGCTCTATAACTTCAATTCACTCAGTATTCTTAATGGGAGAATCCCAATCTAATCAATCAATCAATCAGTCAATCAATCAGTCAATCAATCAGTCAATCAATCAATCAGTCAATCAATCAATCAGTCAATCAATCAATCAGTCAATCAATCAATCAATCAATCAATCAACCAATCAAAGCTTATTTGTGGTTCATCCACAGTCAAGAAGCTCCAACATTAAAACTATTACTCAGCAACATTGTTATGAGACACTAAAACTATCATACACCGAAGTGACTCAGAGCGAGGTATTACAGTAAACCGATTTCCCCACAATAATTCCCTTTCTTCTTCTTTAAAGATTTCCACTCTCTTCACATGATTGATTTGAAACGAAAGAACAGGATCATTTCTACATACAGGCTTTCTAAAAGACGTTAAGATGCCACATTGCACACGGCTGGTTGAGCCAACTTGTTGCCCCATACATCATGTCATTTGCAATTTTCCACTCGTCATGCCATGTGCCACATTCATAATTATGAAATATGAAGCTCTCGGGCTGCAAGATATTACTATAAATCTAGATAATATATTCAATATGGCATGTGAACAGGAGTATTTGCTACTGTGCTTTGCTCACTGCGCTGTAGGTTTGATAAATGGCTTTCTGGACATGGGATCCAAAAAAATAATAATAATAATAATAAAAAAAAGAGCACTTTAAATCTATCGCTCCCATGAGTGAAGGAAATTAGAGAGGAAATATGAAAAAAAAAAAAAGGAATTATGGTATTGCAGTCCAAATAAGCCAAGCACAACAGATGGTGAAGGCAACTTTACTCCGCATTATGGTGGAAATAAGCAGATTTCAAGCGGAAGTGAATTGTGGGCTCTAATTTGCTCATTTTAAGGCGAAGCAATTAAACGGCAAGCAACACATTTGGAGGCCACAAAAAAGAAATGTTTAAAGAAAAATAAGACGTTCTGAAATGCCTTGTCAGCCAGACGGGAGAAAAATCAAACAAGATAATCTGAGTCATTTCCAGATTTGCAGGATCATTAACATGCTTGTTGTTTGAAAGTTGAAACAGGAGATGATCTGTGTGCACAACACACATAATTAGGGAGAGGAATTATATGGCCAATGATTTTTTATGCCAAATATTATTCTTTCAGCACTTTTAATGAGAGGGAACAATTTTTAATAGTCAAGTGATTGGATAGTTTAGATGTTAAATCAATTTGCTGACAAAAGTGTTTATGCTGAATTTTAACTTTCTTTTTTATGTGGCATTTATATAATCCAGTGATGAGCTTAATTCTAAACAAACAACAACAGCAACAACAACAAAAAAAGAACATTTCATATTTTTTTCCCAGAAAAACTGGGTCATATGAACAAGTCAGTGAATTTAATAAATTTACATAATAAAATAATAAATAAAAGTAGTTCACTCATCACAATGTACAGTTGAAATCAGAATTATTGGCCACCTTCGAATGTTTTTCTTTTATAAACATTTTCCAAACGATGTTTAACAGAGCAAGGACATTTTCGCAGTAAGTCTGATAATATTTTTTCTTCTGGAAAAAGTATTATTTGTTTTATTTTGGCTAGAATAAAAGCAGTTTTACATTTTTTAAAGTTTTATTTATTCATTGTGAAACATTACAAAAATATACAAAGACATAAACATGTAACAATAAGCAAATACACTGAAGAGTATTTTGAGCAAACAATAATAATAAAAATAAATAATAATAATAATAAAAAATACAAATAAATAGATAAATAAATAAAAAAAAACAACACTAGTGCAATCTTATATACAGAAAAAACAAGTCTACATATTACCTTAACCTGCCTAGTTAACCTAATTAACCTAGTTAAGCCTTTAAATGTCACTTTAAGCTGTATAGAAGTGTCTTGAAAAATATCTAGTCAAATATTATTTACTGTCATCATGGCAAAGATAAAATAAATCAGTTATTAGAAATGAGTTTTTAAAACTATTATGTTTAGAAATGTGTTAATGTGCACATAGCAAGCTCAGTTTTTGGAGGGCCGCAGCTCTGCACAGTTTAGCTTTATTAAACACAAATGAACAAACTAATTGAGTCCTTCAGACTGCAAGCAGAACTTGGAACTTTCACTTGGAGTTTCATTTGTTTGATATATGTGGCCTTAAATCACAAATTTTTCTCAAAACTTAAGAGATCGTTTGCTTCAATTCTTGTGTTTTGCTGTGAAAATACACAAAATCTTGTAAAATGTTGCTTTTTGTTCCTTAAGGACCATTGGGCTTGCAAAATCACATGGGACTGGCTAAAGTATTTCTAGCAGGCCTTGCCCGCAGAGAGATTTCAGTTAACAGTCTAAAGATCAAATATATCTAAATAAAACCCTGAAAAGTGTAAAAAAACAAAAAAACAAAAAAAACAAAACAAAAACAAAAAAAACCTTTACAAAGAAAACCATCTGAACAGTGTCTAATCAGAGAATAAATACAATAATTGACTCATTTTGAACCAAATTAAATTATCTAAAAATAATGCACATGGCGACCACATTAGCACCTCGGGTGTTTGCTATTTTTTAACTATTAAACCGTTATTCCTCATCTCTTGCCTCTGTTAACACTCCATTTACAGACTGTGCACTATTAAATTACTGCAGTGCAGTTTGTATGCAAGTCAAAAACAAACAAACAAAAAAAAATTCTGGCCAGTGGATTGGAGCATCTGTACTGTGAGTAAAGCTGATGATGAGGTGTGAAATGTGGGGAAGCACCACGGCTCAGTCCTGGACTCAACAGTGTGTGGACGGTGCAACAAAGCTTTCGGGAAACCCACCTCTGGCTGTCGCTAGGCAACAGCACAGCATTATAAGGGCTGTGATTAGAGCTCCGGCTGTCACACCACATCAAAACCTGCTACCTGCTCATAAAAATAGAGCCTTCTGTAAAAATAATCATATCTCTAAAAGTTGAGCATGCATCTAAAAATTACACACTGTAGCGTGTGTTTTCAACAGTGCAGTCTTTCAAGAAATATATATTTTTAAGACATTTAAAGGAACAAATAACATAAGATATTTTAAAGTATTGTTAAGCTCATTATTGCTGAATATTACTGGTGACGTCTTTTTCATATTTTGAGATATCATGACTTCGAAGAATTTGATTTTAGTAATAATTTGTTTGTTTTTTACTCTTAAAAAAGATTGTAAATGTGACAAATAATAACAAAGAACAATCAATTAAACATTAGATTTTAAAAATAAAACTGTAAAAGCTCTAAAACATGTTGTTATTTATAACTTTAAAAAAATCCCCTGTCCTCTGTAGTTTTTACTTTATTTCTTAAAAACTTAAAAACTTTAAATCATTTAATTAAAATTGAGTTTTGTTTTAAAACAGTCATTTTTATTCTTCAGTTTACATTTACTATTATTGCATTTAATTTTAATTTTGCCATTATAATTTTATTTTACTTTGAGTTATTTTAGTACTTAAATTCATACTCATTTCAGTTAGTTGTCAAGACAATATTTATAATAATATAAATTATTATTATTTTATAACAATTCTGCTTAATCTAGCTTTTTTAATGTTTATTTTAATTTAACAGCAAGAATTTATTAGTTCATTATTGATGAATATTACTAAAATACTTTGTCATAATTTGATTTTATGTTTTTTTTTATTTGTATTTTTCAATTCAAACTTGACATTGTAACACTGTCTTATCAAGTAAACTTTAGGTTTAGTAATTGTATCTTTTTTTATATATATAGTAATTCATTACTTCAATTTACACTTGTTTGTATTATCTAGAATAGTTACCAAAGCATTTTTTGTCATTCATTCATTCATTCATTCATTCATTCATTCATTCATTCATTCATTCATTCATTCATCTTTATTTCTAGAGCAAAATAAATAATATAGTTAATACAAGTAAGCTATTTTAGCAATAAGTATGCTATACCTACATTTAAAAAAAAATATTCATTCATTTTCAGTGATTTGATTTTCCTTCGTCTTATTCCTTTATTTATCAGGGGTCGCCACAGTGAGTTGAACCGCCAACTATTCCAGCATATGTTATGCAGCGGATGTCCTTCCAGCTGCAACCTAGTACTGGGAAACACCCATACACACTCATTCATACACACTTATACACTATGGCCAATTTAGTTCACCCAATTTACCTATAGCGCATCTCTTTGGACCGTGGGGAAAACCATATGAAACTCCACACAGAAATGTCAACTGGCCCAGCTGTGACTCGAACCAGCGATCTTCTTGCTCTGAGGCGACAGTGCTAACAACTGAGCCACCACACTGCCATTATTAAGTAGCAACAATTTTTAAACCCTGACAACCACAACATTCTTTTACGCAGTAAAGTAACTTTATTCAATTTTAATAGAACAGTTCAACAGTCAATCTAGTTTTAATTCTTAACTTTTTGTGTTTCATATTTTAAATTCTTTTAAGTTAAGTTTTAATTGATTCTTTCACTTTCTTTTTGGCTTAATCCCTTTATTCATCAGGAGTCGCCACAGCGGAATGAACTGCCAACTTATCCAACATATATTTTACACAGAGGATGCCCTTCCAGCTGTAACCCATCACTGGGAAACATCTATATACTGTACAC